CGAGGAGTCCGAGCAGTAGACCTCGCGGCTGAAGTCGGCCGGCAGGTCGTACTCGCCAAGAGAGAGGAGGCCCTGCGCGAGCCGCACCTCATCCTTGACAGCCGGCGCGACTCGGACACGGCGGCCGCGGGCCGCGGCCGCGAAGGGGTGGATCGCCTGGAGGCAGGACAGCGCTGGCCGCACCAGCCCGAACATGTTGGCGACGTGCCCGAGCCAGATCTCCAGGACGTCACTGTGGATCCAGCGCCGCCGCCGAAGGGCCCGAATGGCCTGTCTGGTTCTTGTCCCCACGCTCCTCAATCGTCCTTTTCCTCCTCCTCCGTCAGGCCGCATCGGCTAGAGCGCCTCTGGCACCTCTCCTGGAGCAAGCAGCAATGTCTAGCGTGTCCGCAAGCCCCTCGGCAGCGAGTCCCGCGAGCCCCTCGGCTGAAACTGCGTGTCCCGTTTCCGACAGCCCTGCGAACCCGACGCCGAGCCCTGCGGCAAACCCGACCCCGAGCCCGACGCCGAGCTGTGCAGCAAGCTCGACGCCGAGCCCGACCAGCGCCTCCGAACCAGGGGCGAGTTCCGATGCCGACGCGAAGTCGGACGCCGACGCCGACGCAGTGTCCGCGGCCGCGTCGCAGGGCGCCACGTCCGATCCAGACGGTTCGGTTGCTCGTGGCAGCTCGAGGTCTGTTGGCCGCGCTTTCAGTCCAGAGGCGGCCGTGGCTGTAGACCCGCCAGACTCGCAGAGGGACATGTCGCAGGCCCCCATGCTTCCCGTCGAAAGCCACGCCGAGGCTCTCGAAGACCACGGCGACGTCCGAGTCGACGTGGGTGCGCCGGTGCCGACCGACGAGACCACTTGTCTAAACCGCTCCACGGAGTCGAGCGCCGTCTCCTGGCCCCCAGCAAGTGCGGTGCAATTGTCCACGTACACGCCCGACACCGCCTGGCCCAAGCGCAAGGCCGCGGCCAGGGTCCGCTCCCGCACCGGCGAGCGAAGGCAAACGGCGCTCCTGCACGCCAGGTGCGAGACAGCCTCGTTCGCAAGGTGCAGCGCCCAAGAACAACCCATGGCCATGCCGTGGAAGATACCGCCTCGGACGGATCGACCGCGACCCGCCCGAGGTCGTCGTCGTAGATCTGAGTGACCTCCAGTCGCCAGCCGCGGGGGGGAAGTCGACCCCGAACCAGGGCCCGAGCTCCTCCACCAGCATCTGGTGGTAGAAGCAGGGTCGTCCACGTCACTGGTGCCGCCCCAGATCTCGGCGACCCCGTCTAGGCCGCCCAGGTCGCGCAGCGCGCTGTCCGAAAGGTTCAGCTCGCAGAAGCCGCCGACCGACCCCAAACGAATATTGGGCGGCGTCTCGTGGTAGCCGTTCGCCTGCCTGGCGTCGACGGCGAGCCTGGTCCGCGCGGGATCCTTCTTCTTGACGAAGAAGGCGCCGACCTTGGCCGTGATGCGCCTCCTGAAGCCGATGAGGTTGGCCTGCCTGAGGCGCTCCGCGAGCTGGAGGATGCCGTCGCGATCTCGAACCAGCGTCGGATCCCAATGCGGCCGCGGAAAATAATCCTCGGCCGCCGGCATTTCCAGTAGCTGCTCAGTTTCGCGCTGGATGCAATGCCGAAAGTGCTCGATGAGGCCCGCGGACTCAGGCGGGAGGAGCGCCTTTGCGCCCTTCGCAAGAGTGCCCATGCGGCGAATCTTGAGCTCGTTGATGTCGTACTCGGCGGGGTTCTTCGGCTCCTGCGAGCATGGGTCCCCGGGCGCCAGGAGCACCGCGAGTGCCCCGTCAGTCATCGCCCAGGTCTCGAGGCAGGGGGGCCTGCAAGGGGGCGCCACGCTGGCCCCCAAATTTTCGCGCGCGTAAGACGCTCGAAAAACGAAGCAGTAGCGGCAGCGAGCTGGTTAAGAGACCTCGCCGCCTCAAGCTCTCGCTGATGCCGATATATATATATAATAATATATATATATATATTATATATATATAATATATATACACATTATATAAATATATATATATAGAGAGAAGGAGAGAGGGGAGAGAGAGAGAGAGAGAGAGGAGAGAGAGAGAGAAGAGAGAGAGAGAGAGAGAGAGAGAGAGAGAGAGAGAGAGAAAGAGAGAGAGAGAGAGAGAGAGAGAGAGGAGAGAGAGAGAGAGAGAGAAAAAGAAAGAAAGAGAGAGAGAGAAGAGAGGAGAGAGAGAGAGAGAGAGAGAGAGAGAGAGAGAGAGAGAAGAGAGAGAAGAGAGAGAGAGAGAGAGAGAGAGAGAGAGAGAGAGAGAGAGAGAGAGAGAGCTGATCGCGCCGTCGCCGCCGCCCATATCGACGGGGCGCCGGGCGATGCCAAGCTCGGGAAGGAAGGGGGCGGCAGAGAAGAGCTCCCGCCTCTGAGGACGAAGCCGCCGTCGAACGCCAACGCCCCCATGGCCAATGCTGTCGGCGGAACGGCCGCGCTGCGCGGTCGCCCCGGCCTGAACGACCGTCAGGGTCAGCCCTCCTCCGTCTTCTGGTCGCCCCCAGCGCCAGCGCCCTCCTTGGGCCTCGGCGCTTTCTTGGGGTCGGGGTCCGCTCCTTTGCCACGTTTTGCGCGCTTGTCCCCATTGCGCCGCTCCTCCCGCAGCAGCCGCGCCTGCATGAGCGTCCGAGCGCGGTCGCCCTGCTCCATGCAGACCCAGCCCCTGAAGCCCCTGCTCGCCGCGGCGCCGCTCTCCGCGGTCGGGCCGCCCGTGGCGAGGCCCAGGCCCGCGTTGTCTGGATGCTTTGCATTCCTTTCCACGACCATCTAAATCTGAATCTGCCTCCGAACCAACTGCTCGAAGCGCGCCGGGTTGGGCGCGTTGGGCTGACCCACCTGGCGAGCCAGCCGCGGCGCCTCCGCGCTGTTGCGGCGCCCGGGGAGGGCCATGGTCCATTGGCGCCATCGCCGACGCCGCTCTCCTGCCCCCACTCGCTCTCGTAGACCGCCATCGAGCCAGGCCCGCCCCGCGCGGCCTCCAAGCACCTCTGGGTCGCGCGCGGGGGGGGGGGAACGGCCAGTCGCCGAACGTCTCCTCCGCGAAGAGCTCCACCGCGCCCGAGAGCGCCACATTGCGCTTTCCCCTCTTGCGGCGGACTCCCAAGATCCTCGAGTTGCCCTCGCCCTGCCGTCGCTTCCCCCCCCCCCCCCCGCTCGTCGAGCTTGTCCTCTGACCCGCTCCACGAAGCGCTTCGCCCCGACCCAATCGACCACGCCGAGTGGCCCGAGCGAGACGAACCGCTGCCCGCCCGCCAGAACCTCATCCGAACCTCCTTGCTGAAGTGCTCATCGCCCACCTGGTAGACGACCCGCCTCTCGACCTCAGCATCGCCGAAGTCGCCGTCGGCGAGGATGACGGTTTGCACCTTCGCCTGCGCCGCAAGGTCGTCGAGTTGAGGGCCTGTGACTCCGTCGACGTCGAAGCGACGACGGCTGAGTCCGCTTGCGCTGCGCTCGCAAACGCCTGACTCCAGCGACTGCTCTTGTCAGAAGGGCCCACCAGCCTTTCCCCATCCCTTCGACAAGGCGCAGGGCGACGAGATCAAGCGCGTCACTGTCGTTCTGAACAAGAGGTTATGCCCCGCGGCCGGGTGCGCGGCGCTGCCGCGCGCGGAGCGTGGCTCCGACTACCTGCTTCGTGCTAATTAAGCAATCGGGTCCCCCTGATCCGCTCCAGTTCTGAATTGGTTGTTCACTGCGCAGGGAAAGCCCCGGAAGGCGTTCCTTGAACGGCACTTCTCGCCATGCGCGAATACACTATCCACGAGGTCCCCCGCGCTTCGAGAATGACCCCCCGCCGCCTCCAGGCACGGCGAGACCCCCCCCGCCAAGAATCCTCCTCCGGGCGGGACCCCTCCTCGGCCTGGCATAGCCTTCCGCGGGGCGAGACCAGACCGACGGCGGACTGTGCCCATTCGGCTGGCTCTCCCAGACAGCTCCCAAATGTTCCATTTGACCTGGGCGCCCGCGGGGGCCGCGTGCCCCGAAGAAGCCCCAGGGCTGGCGAGGCGGCCTCTCCCCGCGGGAGCCACCCCCCCACCTTCCCCGCCCCATCGGTCCGCGGGGAGCGTCCTGCGACCCGAGCTGTGGGGGGGCGCTTTGGGTCGAATCCCAGCGCCCACCAGCCCCTCTCCCTTGCCACCTCCCGGGGCGCGCGCCTTCCCCTCCGCGGCGCGGGGCGGGGCCCGGGGGGGAAGGCCCCGGTCCGGGGCCTGCCCCTCGATTCGGCAAGGCCCGGCCTCCCCCCCCCCCTTCCGGGCCCGGCGTTCCTCGCAGAGGTAGAACAGGGCCTGTTCGAGAATGTCTTGCGCCTGCGGGGTGGCCTTCCCCTCCCTCCTTGTCTCTCGAAGCCCCCTTCACCGCGCCTGTACCTGCCCTTTCCCCCCGTGGGGCCTTGGGCCAGGGGGTCTCCCCGGCGGCGTGGGAACGGCCGACCCCCGGCGTGGGGTGCGCCCGCTTGTCGGGATGGTGCGGGTTCGATTCGACATGGGGGGGTCCTGAGTGCCTCCGCCACCCTCGCCTCCCACGAGGTACGTCGGCGTGGGATGCCTTCCCCCCCCTGGGCCCCGACCGGAGTCCTCGGGGAGGTAACCCTCCAGGGCGGGCCCCCTCGCCGCTCCCGCCGCTGGGCGGGCTGAGGGCCCAGCTTCCGGGGTCGAGCCCACTGGCGTGGCGAGACCCGCCCAGGCGGCGAACGCCGCGGCCAGCGGAACGGCAGTGGAACCCCCCAGGAAGAACATCGCAGGCCTGGTGGGGGATCAGGGGCGTGCCCCCGTCCGCAAAAAGGAGAGACGCAGCCGTGCTGAAGCCAACGGCTGCGGGAGGAACGGAAGAGGAAAGAGAACGCACGGCGAAAGGCCGGATGGAGCTGGTAAACGGGGGGCCCCAATAACAGAGACACTTTTACTGAGACGCCCTCCACGTGTCTTATTCTCTGGCCTGAGCCGCGCAATTTCTTACTTCAGACCCCCCCCGTCTGGATCTGCATGCTCGCCACCTTGGCGCCCTTCGACCGCACGGAGCTCTGCATGAGGCCGCCGAAGATCCTGAGTAGAGGCCCTCCACCCCTCCACTCCCTCTTTTCTCACCGCGTCCTCCTCCTCCTCCTCCTCCTCCTCCTCCTCCTCCTCCTCCTCCTCCTCCTCCCTCCTCCTCCTCCTCCTCCTCCCTCCTCCTCCTCCTCCTCCTCCTCCTCCTCCTCCTCCTCCTCTCCTCCCTCCTCCCTCCTCCTCCTCCTCCTCCTCCCTCCTCCTCCCCTCCTCCCTCCTCCCTCCTCCTCCCTGCTCCTCCCTCCTTCCCCCTCCTCCTCTCCTCCCTTCCCCTCCTTTCCAGCGTCCGGCCCCTTCCCCTATCCTCCCATCCACGGCCTCAGAGGCCCCCCCCCACGAGACTGGCACCCACAGGGGGGCTCCCCGGGCAGGCCCCCCCCCCTCCCACACCACCAGCCTGCATGCAGCTCCAGCTGCAGCGCGGGGAGTTCTCTTCCCCCGTGGGCGACGGGCTATCGAGTCTGGGGTCGACGTTCCCCCGCGGTCTCGATCCCACCCGCTGTGCACCAGCGACGCGGCCGTGCTCTCGCCTCCCCGCTCTCTGCCCCCACTCCGTTCCACTGCCTCCCCCCCCCCCCGCCTTCCATTCGTCTCTTCGGCATGTCATCGGATGCTCCCGTGGTGTCAGCCTCTTCCAGCCCGCATCCCCCATCACCCCTCCCCTTTCCAAGCCCTCCCTCCGCTCCCTCCCTGCATCCCTACTGTACCTCCCACTCCCTCCCCGAAACCTACGCACAACTCTCTGGAAGCATGGGCCACTCGCCCGTCCCAGCGCGCCGTGCCCCACCCTTGTGGGGCAGGATCGGGGGTGGGCTTTGGCTGGAATGGGGCAGTGCGGACGGGAGGACCCGGAGGATGGACAGAGGCATACGGTCGGGGCGTTGACCTCAGGAACCCTAAATAAGGAACGAGGCCCATGTGTTCCATAAGTTAAACTTCGATTTCCTATCGAATACATAAGGAAAACCTGAGGCAAGCTGCGAAACACTTAAGGAACGCGGAGCCCCTCCCCAACGAAAAGGGTACCTTCTTCAGCGCCACTGTAGGGATAAGAAGTGGGATTGGTGCGGCGTCACCGACTAGCCCTAGAGATCCGCCAGCTGCCTCCTCATCTCAATCCTCCTCCTCCTCCTCTTCCTCCTCCTTCTCCTCCTCCTCCTCCTCTTCCTCTTCTACCTCCTCCTTCTCCTCCTCCTCTTCCTCCTCCTCCTCCTCCTCTTCTCCTCCTCCTCCTGCTCCTCTTCCTCCTCTACCTCCTCGTCCTCCTGCTCCTGCTCCAGCTGCTTCTGCTCCTCTTCTTGCTTCTGCTCAAGCTGCTCCTCCCCCTCCTCTTCATCGCCATCGGCTTCCTTCTCCTCCTGCCTTTGTTCCTGCTCTAGCTCCTGCTACTCGTTATGATAACTCCCATTGGCTTCCAACTAACAATGACGAAACAAACAGAACAACACTATACGGAATCCGACGACATTAGTACTCCTACCTGAAGATTCAAGCTTCATCCCACAAATCCCGCAGAGGAGAAAGATCCAACGCCCACATTCGCAGTTTGTCGCCTCACCCGAAACATCCCAGGAACGGATTGGGATGACAGCTCCTCTAATCGAGACCAGGCCAACACCAAAGCTCAACAACTAGTGTTTCGCGCCCACGCTTCAGTCTGCATCAGTGAATTCGAGCTCATCGGGAAACAAGTCCCGCAGAAGGGCTCAGGCACCGGTCACCGCCGCGCGCTACTTGCCAGTGGATCCGATGGAAAGGGCGTGGCAACCGCTGCTGCAGAAGAGCAGATGACCGCAGACGGGGGACGTCATCAAACGACAGCGGAACCGCGGCATCCTTCCTGGCTGCCGCTGCCTCACCTCCACCTCTCTCCGGCCCTCTGCACCGACGCTGGTGCGGCAAGTCACCCCTTGAGCAACTGCTCGCAATTGGCAGTGGCTGGACCAGGATCTTGCATAGCGCGCGGTGCTTCCGACGATACTCGGGAGCGGCAAAGAGGGGGGTGTCCAAGAGGGGGGGGTGCAAATCATGACCGGCGGCATGTGCGCGGCCCAGCGGGGGGGCCAGGGACGTAATGAAATAAGAAGAGGCGCTATTAAATCTGGGGAAATATCACGGCCCCCGCCATGATATCCACCCCCCCCTAGTCATCACCCCCCTCTTTTCCGCCCCCGAGATACAAGACTCGGGGGCGCCGCGCTCCCTCCCAGCTGCCTCCAGGGGCCTCGCTGCCCAGCGGGGGGGGGCATGCGTGCCGGCGGCGAGGAGGCTGCAGCTCCCGCCCGCCCAGAGCGCGGTGCTGGATTGACACCGCGCAACAGCAAACCCTGGAAACAACAATGAACGCGCCGCGCAACATTTGAGGTTCAGCAAATACAGTCGGGGCGTTGACCTAAGGAACCCAACATGAGGAACGAGGCCCCTCTTTTACACGAGTTGAACTTCGATTTCCGATCGAAGACATAAGGAAAACCTGAGGCAACATCGGCGGTGGACAAACCTCCCTTTAGTAAACCTCCCCTTAGCGAAAACGGCCCGGGAACGAGAACGACGGGCCCGGCCCCGCAGACGTGACGGCCGCGGCGCCCTCTCGCGAGCCGAAAGCGGCCACTTCCTCAATCGACGCGTCGGGGTCGGAGGTCTGTCCACCCCCGAAAATTAACACAGAAGCCCGCCAGAACCAGGAGGAGGAGGAGGAAGAGGAGGAGGGGGAGGAGGAGGGGGAGGAGGAGGAGGAGGAGGAGGAGGAGGAGGAGGAGGAGGAAAAAGAGGAGGAGGAGGAGGAGGAAAAACAGGCACACAGACAATGCGCGCTTGTGGATGGGAGATGGATCTCGCTCGGCCCGTGCCCCGAACCACACCTGCACCAACTCTGCTTCTGCTGCAGCGCAGCGCCGCCCCCCGGCATCCTTAGACCTGGAGGCGCCACGGCGGCAGCCTCCATGGTCGCACATGCCAGGGGGCCAAGTCTTGCCAGAAATACTGCCAGGCATCCGGCAAACCACGGGCGGGAGGGGGAGGGGTGCTGGAGGAGGACAGAGGACAGGAGAGGAGGAGGTGGCAATACTCTGTGGACGCACCACATTGATGTATACGTAACAGTGTGTGAGCCACCCGCAATTGTACATCCGCACGAATGCGGAAAGAGAGGCGCGACGCAGGGAGGAGGGAAGGCGGAAGAAACTCGCTGCCCGCACATCAGGAGTCAAACGAGTCCTGTAAATCGGGGTTCAAGCGTGGCCTGAGAAGCGAGACTTGCTAGGGAGGTGGGCTCCGCCTGCGCCAGCCGATCAAGAATGCCACGAACGAGAAAAGGAGAAGGAGCGAGCAATGGAATGGCGAGGGAGGGAGGGGCTATCAGCTTCGCCGAACGCCGCTGCCTGACTACGTGCCTGAGCAAGGCTGAACAGACTTGGCCTGGATCCGCCCCAGTGCCGCAAGGCTTTCCGTGGAGCGCTCTCGCATCCCCCAGCGGATCTCTGGCGCGCAGCAGCTGGACAGAGAGACCCTGGCGGTTGCCGCGCGCGCTGGCCACTCGGCGCAAGAGCGCGCTCCGCTGCTCCGTCGAGCGCTCGGGATGAGTCCCCGTCGCCCCGCACCACGTTGCCCACTCCGCGCGCCAGCGCCTTTGCGAACAAAACATGAACCAAACTGTTTCTTTTTCTAGGGGGCCACATGTGAACCCCACCCTCCCCCTCAGAAATCGTGGGGGGTAAGGGTAGGGTTCACATGTGGCCCCCTATTTACTCCTCCGGGTCCTCCTCCAAGTCGTCATCCTTCTGCCGCTGCCCCGTGATTTCCCTTCACCCTCCCTCATCATTCCTCCCTGTTCCCGTGCCCATCCTCTTTTTCCCATATCTGCTTATCATTCTTCCCGGCGTAAAGCGAGGTCCGATAATTAACCGCATTTTTGTTGTACGCGTTTGCGCGCGTGTGTGTGTGTGCGTGTGTGTTTTCACTTCCTGTCCTGACGACCGTCTTCACTCCCAACTCGGCAGCGCCCCTGTCTTAGATACATGTTAATATATTATGGCTTAGTCCATCCTGCAATGAAAAGCTTCGGCTCTGAAAGATGACAAAAAGACTGTGTGAATGCGCCGACCCCCGCGTGAAGAGGCGTGTGAAAGATTTGGCTGTCCTGTCCCCCTGCCCCTTTCCCCCTCCCCTGGGGTTCAAAATCCTGTTAGGGGGGGGGGGGTCCGAGCTCGCTGGCGAACTTCCCTGGCCCTTGGAGCCTCCAATCCAATCACCGCGGCCTCCGAGATGCCGTCGAAGATGGTTCAAGAAAGGCACAGTTGCGCCGGAGGCCTCGAGAACATCCAAGACGGCCTCAGGACGGTCCAAGAAGCCTGGCCATTCCAGGAGGTTCTGAACCCCGTACCCGCCCGAGAAACCTTCCAGATGTGCCCCAGACGGCAGCAGAGGCCCCCAAGAGGCCCCCAAGAGGGCCCGGCGATGGCCCAAGAGGGCCCCAAGGCCCAAAACTTCCCCAGAGGCCCCGAAGACTGCTAAAAACTTCTATGAGAGAAAGCCCCAAGAAAGGCCGGGGAGGCCCAAGGGGGGGAACTCGTAAGGGCCCTGGGAACCATCCCCCACAAGATGGCCCCCAAGACGTCCAATATGCTCTCAAGATGCCCGCAAGCAGTTTCCAAAGGGCGCCGACACAACACCCAGGAGCCCTGAAAAGGCTCCCAAGAGGCCGCCCCAAGGGCCCCAGGAGGCCCCCAAGAAGCCCCGCAACAGGTGCGGAGGGAAAAAAGGACAAACCATAAACAACCACACGCAGGCAGCACACTGGGAGGCGGCAAGCCACGCGTACGAAATTGGCAGCCGCACGTGTCCTATTGGGGGTCGGCGGAACGGCGCGCGCCTCTGGAATCGACGGCAAGAGCGCCACGATGGCCCATGCTACCGCGGCATTGCTGCCCCCAGTGCCTCCGTGGACTCGAACCTTTGGCCTGGGCGCGCGCCGCACACGACTGCCCAGACAGTGGACATCTGCAACTCGTGTTCTGGGGGGTACACTGATGCGCAGAACAGTGATCAGCTGAGCGTTAGCTGGCGACCACCTCGCCCTCGTGCCCCATCCGCCGCCTCCTCCCGATACCCCTTCGCTTTTGCTCCGCCCCCCCCCCTACCCTCTCTGCACTCCCTCCCTCCTGACATCCCCTTCGAAATCACCCACGCCGTCCGCGTGATGGGCGAATCTTCGTGCAGGCCAGCGGACCTCTCCTCGACCTGCCTGCGGCTGGTCTTCACGACGTGCGCCCACGCGCTGGCGGCGCCGGAAGCCTCCTCGGCTTCCAGAGCGGCCTCCTCCTCCACGTCGTCCCCGGCGCTCGGCGGCAGCGGCGTTTGGCGCAGGCCCTCGCCCCATTTGCTCTCCTTACAGAAATGCGCCACAAGAGTGGATGGCGAAGGAGGAGAGAGGAGGAGCACGAGGAGGAGGAGGAGGAGGAGGAGGAGGAGGAGGAGAAGGGCGAAGAGGAGGCGGAGGAGGAGGAGGACGATAACGATAGGAGGAGGAGGAGGAGGAGGAGAAGGAGGAGGAGGAGGAAGAGGAGGAGGAGGAGGAGGAGGAGGAGGAGTTCCCATCGGAGTTCCCCCCCAGCCGCAGTGGCTGTCGGCTTGCCGCGCTTCGCCCGCGGCGGCCGCCCCGCGCGGGCCGCGCACGGGCCGCGGCTCGGCTCGGGTGGGCCGCGCCCCTGGGGGCCGCCCACCTTTCCACGCGCGTTTTGCGGAGGCGCGTGGAGCCTTGGGGCCGAACGCGCCCTCTGCGAAGGACGCGGTCCACCCTCGAGATCCTCAGCGCCCCGCGCAGCGCCCCCAGCACGCGAGTGCTGGGCACCCTGCGCGACATGCCATCCAGGGAAGGTGGCAGTAGCTGCATCGGTCCAGCCCAGTCGCACTGCTCGTCGTGCTGGTCACAGTGGTGCTGCTGTCGACGTGCTGGTCACGGTGGTGCTACTGCCGTGGGTGCTGCACGTCGTGCTGGTCAATGTCGTGCTGCTGCTCTCCGTTGCGTTGCTGGCTGGTCGCCGCGCTGAAGAGTCGTTGCGCCCATCTCCTTCTCCTCTCCTCAGCGCTTTCCTCTGCTGTCGCTGGGGCTAGAGGTGGTGCTGGGGTCTCGTCCCTCTCCGCGACGGCACTGCATCGGCTGCGTGGCTCGTCTTGCTGGGTTGAAGCAGTCAAGTTCCGTGGGCGAGGGCCTTCAAATGCATCTCCTCGCTGACTCCCCCAAACTGCCCCCGCGCGTGGACGCAGGGAGTGCTCGTCCCCCCCTCCACGCCGATGTACGCAGCAGGTTGTGTCCTGGGAGTGCTGCTGGTGCTGGGTGCTGGTGCTGGGCGCAACGTCGTGCTGCTGCTGGTGCTCAATGTCGCCATGCTGCTGTGCTGGTTGCTGTCCTTCTGTGTGCGTCTCGGGCTGGGCGTCGTCGCTGGGCATGCCAGTGCTGTGTCCGTCGCTGCCGTCGGGTTGGTTGCGGGTGCTGGACTCGTGCGCTGCGATGTCGAGCCAACGTTGCAGCTTGTATCTGAGGCTGTTGTACCCAGGGCGTCCTCTGCATCCTGCACGCATCTTTTCTGAGACACATTGCCTGCAGACCCAGCGTGTCTCTGCACGTATGAAGATGAGTGGGTGGCTGTGGTGTGCAGTGTGGCCGTGCTGGGTGATGGAGTGCCCTTGGCTCGGTGGTGGTCCAGCGCAGCCCTGTTGGATGGTGTCCCATCCAACTCGTTGTGCGCAGCACCTGCATACCCATCCTTTCCCACGTCGTGGCCTCGTCAAGTCGTGGGTGGCGAGTGGGCGTCACCCGTCAGGCCGTGGCGGTCCGTCGGCAAAGTAGTCCCGTCGACGTCTTTGCTGTGCCCGTCGTTGCTTCAACTGGGCTCTTCGTGCCGCTCGAACTTCGCGGTCCTCTGTTGGGCGTCGGTCTATGGCGTCGACTGTGGCGGCGGCGGTGCGGAGTCGTACAAGTGCTGCCGTAGCGCTGACCAAGTCGTAGCATGACATTTGGGCGTCGCCGATGTCGCATTCGCGGGCTACTCTCTCTGCGAGCTTGTCCGCCGAGCTGTTTCCGCACCGCGCGTGGAGGGGAAACCCTCGTGCTCGTGCTTCCCCCAAGTGAGGTGGCTGTTGATGTGGTGGACTGCTCTGCGCGATGGCCCCTGGTCGTCGCGGCGGCTGAGCTCGTCCCCGATGAGTTCCCAGAGGTAGTCGTCGGTGTCGGCCGTGGCTTTGTTCCGATACCGTCTGTCGCGCCATCCCTTGTACACGGGTTCGCTGTCCGCCCAGTAGTGTAGGTGGTCCAGTGGTGTGGCGTAGGCAGTCTAGGAGGGCCCATAGTTCTGCTCGGTTGCTTGTCTGTCGTCTGCGCGGTAGGGGTCCGAAGCGTGCTGCTGCAATGTTGAAGCCGTCGTTGTCGGAGCCTGATAGCCGCACCCAAGCACGTCCACATCTGCGGTACCGCCAGTCTGCGCTGCGCGCGCCTCCCGATCCGTCTCCGTAGATGACCGGGGGCGACCCGTCTGATGTGCTGATCTTGTCTGCGTGGATCATCTCGCCGAAGCTGCTGGCCTCCTCTTCGGTGGTGCATTCTGGCGGTACCGACCAAGCATGCGGCGTGATGCCACGTAGCCAGAAGGCTGGCGTGGTGTAGCGACCTGATTCGGCCTGTGTCCGTAGTCGGTCGGACTTGACGTAGGCAGGGTTGTCGCTGCGGCAGCTGCACTCGCCCCAGATGCGGTGGTACTTGGTGTCGATCTGGCCGCACTCGCAGAGGTTGCCCCCATGGCCGAAGGTGGACTGCTGTCGTGTTCGCGCCCATGTGCCTGCGCATGCCGCTGTGAGGAGCCCCCCGTACTCGCGGTGCTTGCCGTGGTTTCTGAGCCATTGTAGGTGCCGTCGAAGATCCGTCGTGTCTGCTCCGCGCTGTTCCAGGCCCCCTCCGTGGTAGTGGCTGGCTGCGGCTGTCCGGAGCTTCACGCGGACGTCGTTCAAGATGGCGTCGAGGATGTCTGTTGGGTCGCCTATCGCCGTCTTGTGGGAACTTCCAGTCGCAGCCTTCGCTGTCGATCCAGTGGTCGGGATCTCTGGAGTCCCAGCCGAGCTCCCACAATGCCATGATGTTGGCTGCGATGGGGCCTCGGCGTTGCGTTGCGTCCATCGTCGTGTTGCAGGGACCTTTAGCATCCTGAAGTAGATATTGGGCCACGCGCGTCGTACTTGTGCTCGAAGGTCGGGGCTGTGAGCCCAGCAGCTGAACCAGTTGGAGAACTGCGTCTTCGCAATGGTGTAGGCTGGGTCCGTTCCCTCCAAGTCGAGGAAGGTAGTCAGGCAGCGTCCTGGCCAAGGTCGTCGGAGTGGTTGTGCGCACCGTCGTCGTGTCGCTCGCAGTGCTGTGGGCGCCAGGTCGTGGACTGCGGTGCCATGCTTTGTGGATGCCATCGCTCCCTGCTGCGCTAGCCTGGCCTGTGTCGTGGTGTGGAGTCTCTTGAGCTTGGTTCGTACTGCCCTCAATCGGCGCCTCGCTGCTGTCCGTCTTGCTGCGCAGGTCGCCCGTCGGGTGGTGCCGGGTGCTGCTCGGTCTGCTCCCAGGTCGCGTCCTTCCGTGGACGCCTGTACGTCGATGCCGAGGTCGCGGAGTTGGCGCTGGATGGTCTTGGTGTCTTTGACGTGCGTGGTCAGCAGTGTGGTTTTGTCTGCGAGCCGGAGCCCTTGTTCCTGGAGTACCAGGAAGAGGCTGTGCGTGGTGGTCACAGTGGCAGCGGTGATCTGGGACCTGCTGCCTACGATGCGGAAACTGATTTTATCGAACCGAGCGCGTGGTAGAGGTCGTGGTAGTGTGCTGGCGTCGGTGAGCTTGGCCATCGCCGCGTGTACTACAGTGCGCGCTACATTGTTGGCATGTCGTGAGCCTGCCAAGATGGAGCGGTCTGCGTAGAGGGGGTTGGGGTACGACCCTTGTTGTCGTAGTAATCGTGCTGCGGAATGTTGTAGCATCATGAGGTAGAGTGGCCGCGCCGGGAACTGCATGTGGAGCGCGGCTGGCATGGTCTTGTCGATCCGAAGGCTGTCTCAAAACTTCTCGATGCCTGCTAGGAGGATGGGCTCGACCATGTTGAAAGCGTCGGCGCACTCGTCTGTGATGAGTCGTCGTAGCGCCTCGCGCAGGCAGCTGTTGCCCGCGATGGCGGACCCGGTCTCTGTGTAGGAGCTCCCAGCATCGGAAGAGTTGTGGAAGTAGCGCCAGCGCGCGGTCTCCTTTCTTCGGCTTCGGGATGATCATGACGACGGATAGCAGCAACTGCCATGGCCACGTCAGTCGGTGCTCGCATAGGTTGAAGAGGTCGATGAGTGCTTGGCGTCCTGGTCGTGGTAGGCGTCGTATGTCGCTGCGCCTGACGACGTCGACGCCGTTGCCCTTGTCGGGCTCTCCTTTGAGGCAGCGGCCGAGGTCCCCTACGGTCCGCGGTGGAGCGAGGTCTTCGTGTCGCGCTCGTTCTCGGAGCGCCGCTAGTAGCGCTGGGTGCCGAGGGCGGAGAGCACGGAGAAGGGGGGGAAAAGTAAGAAAGGAGGTTGGAGGAAAGAGGGGGGATGAGGAAGAGGAGGGAGGGAGGTTGGATGATGGAACGGGATGGGGGATGGGAGAGGAAGAGGGATCATGAAGGAGGGTAACGGAGGGATCAAGGAAGAGCGAGCTAGGAGGTAGGGCAATGCAGAAGGAGACAATCAAAAAGAGCGCGGCTGGAATTTCGTCCAAGCCAAGCGGAGCGCTGCTGCCGCTCAGGCCTCCTTCGCACTGGCGGTAGGTACCGCGTGATGCACGGGGGCGGAAATTCCCCGAACCCCTTGCGCGGTCTGTCAAAAGACCGCAGCTGCAAAACAAGGCGGGCATGTGGCGATGCGCGGCGTGGCACACCCCGTCCGCACACCCGAGCAAAAGGCGCCGGCTACAAACGCGCGTTCGCATACGCGCCTCGGCACATCGATGGCGACATGGCGCCGCCTTGGGGCATCGCCCACAGCGGCACAGTGCTATGGCTACGGGACAATTTCCAGCAGCTCACGCAGCGCACTCAGGAATATGGAAACGCTAACACTGGTGCGCTAGCGGTGAGCATCGAGGCGCGCCTGGAGGCCTGCCGGGGGAGAGGCCCCAAGGTGACTAGGCGATCGGGAAAGCCTGCTGAGGGGCGTTCCAGGCGGACCCTGCTCTCTGGGATTTGTCAAGACGAAGTCCTGACTGCTCCTGGATGCTGCGCAGGATGTGGGCAGGGCTGGTAGCGCACTGTTGCTGCGTCGGGATGTACTCTCCGTCGTCGTCTGGACCCTCGGTGGGACTGTTGGGCGTGGCGCGATCGTTGTCGGGATGTTGGATGGGG